GAATGGCCCATATTACTTCTGTAAAGTGACATCTTCCAGATATATGGAGACCATTGGTTATGTATACCCTTGATGGCCTGGGCAGTCTCACAGTGACCTTAAGATGAACATAAAGATTGGATGGCTCTTGATTAGCATGGCTTTATGGAATTTCTGGATCAGGAGAGTACGGAACCATTTTCCTGGATCACCTCAGGCCACTTATAGAAAGAGGAAGCCCTTCATGCATGTAAGGCAAGCCTTCTACTAACTGAGCTACCCCTTTGTGGTTTAAATTGAATACTTTATATGACTAGGGGTTGTTTTGGTTTGGTTTAAATAAAGGGTCTCATATATCCCTGGCTGGCCTGTAACTCAATATTTGGACTAGGCTGGCCCCAAACTCATACAGATCCACCTGCCTCTGCCTCCTGAGTGCTGGAACTAAGGGCTTGTTCCACCACCCCTGGCACTTTCTATGACTTTAATCACTGGTTGGTCTTGAACTCAGTATGTAACTGAGTGTATTATTAGTCAGTGTTCTCTAGAGTAACAATTTATAGAATGCAACTCCCTGTGTATAGAAAGGGATTTAGACTGTGGTCCAACTAATCCAACAGTGACTGTTTATGTCCAAAAATCCAGTAGTTGTTTAATCCACCAGGCTGGATGTCTCAGCCAGTCTTCAATGTACTCTGGAATCCTAAAGAAGTAGGCTCTAAAGACAGTGAAGAATGGACTTGCTAGTGAGAGCAAGAACAAACAGGCAAAGAGACTTCCTTCTTCCTTGTCCTTACACAGGCTGCCAGCAGAAGGTGTGGCCCAGATTAGAGGTGGGTCTTCCCTCCTCAAAGGATCTGGATTAAAGGTGTGTCTTCCCTCCTCGAAGATCTGGATTAGAAGTGCAGCTTCCCACTTCAAATGATTTAATTAAGTAAAAATGCCTCACAGGTATGCCCAGCCAGTTTTTGGGTTTTAGCTAATTCCAGATGTAGTCAAATTGACAACCAAAACAGGCATCATACTGAGGAGGGCCTTGAACTCCTGCCATTCCTGTCTCCACCTCCTGAGTACCAGGCTTACAGGTGTGAGCTGTCACAACCCTCAGCATCATGGATTCTAAAGTTGTCCCAACATTTCTGCCATATTTGACTCTATTCTGATGTTTGCTCAGTCTCTTCAAACTATGTTTTCAGTATGCTTTGTATCTATGTTGAAGGGTGGTCATGATGTATTGAGTACAAGAAACTGTGGTAAAGCTGGGCGTGGTGCCATGCTCTTGTAACCCAACATTTGGGAGGCTGAGGCAAGAGTAGCGAGGGTTTAGTGCCAGCCTGGGCTACAGAGTGAAACTCATACACACAAACAAGCAGACAAACCAGGAACTGGCAGACAAGTTTTGATAATGCAGTGGCTGGGGGCAGGAGGAGGAGCCGGGTTTTTGTTGTTTTGAGATTTCTGTTCTGTCTTTAAGGTATTGGGGTGGGGGCCTTTTCCCTGTGTTCTGAGAAACTGGAAGGACTTGGAAATGAGTACCCCTTCCCCCAGGCAAGTCAGACTTTCATGAAACTCTAGAGATTAGTCGCAGGAAGAGTAGTTTCTCCTGGAGCTGGAGAGATAGATCTGCAGTTTGGCTGTTCTTCCAGGGGACCCAGGTTTTATTCCCTGCCCCCATATGGCAGCCCACAACCATCTATAACTCCAGTCCCTGAGGACCCAACACCCTCTCTGACCTCTTTGGGCACAGGCACACACTTGGTGCACAGACCTGCATGTAGGCAAAACATTCAGATATATAAAATAAATAATTCTTAAAAATAAATTTCCTGCCAGACAGTGGTAGCACATGCCTTTAATATCAGCACTCGGAAGGCAGAGGCAGGTGGCTCTCTGAGTTTGGGACCAGCCTGGTCTACAGAATGAGTTCCAGGACAGCCAGGGCTACACAGAGAAACCCTGTCTCGAAAAACCAAGAAAATAACTAAAAAAAAAAAAAAGATGGTATTCTCATATTTAAAAATGGTCTCTTCTCCCTTCCCCTCTTCTGATGTTCACTAGGAAGACTTGGGTAGCAGTTCTTGAAAGGAAACTCACAGAGCACTCTGATTGGGACCCATTGAGCCTCCAGTGGCTTCCCTGTTACAGTTAGGTCCCCCAGCCCTGGTTCCTGTGGGTTTCTGTTCTTGTGCTTGGTGAGCCCTGTTATTTGCTTGCTTTCTCTCCAGGGACATGGGCAGTCTGCCTCTTTGCTCACCTTTCTAACAGGCATGATAAAATTACTTCTGGGAGGTAGTGCATACCCATAATTCCTGAGCTTAGGAAGCCGGGGCAGGAGGCTCACAAACTCAAGGCCATCCTGGGCTACACAATGGAAACTTGCTTAAAAAAAATTTAGATAAAAATTACTGATTCAGGCTAGCTGCCCCAGCACACCTTTGTTTCTTATTTTTTGTTTGTTTTGTTTTTGTTTTGTTTTGTTTTGCTTTTTTGGTTTGGTTTGATTTTGGTTTTTAAGTTATTAGGATGGCACAGTTACTCCTAAGATCTGTGTCACACCTGGAACATAGAAGAGTATTTTGTTTTGTTTTGAAATTAGATTTGAAGAAAAACAATGGGTCAAGGGAAAATGTTCTTTGCCCACTGTCTTCTTTGCCTGGAACTGCAGTTACACACAGTGCTGGCCTGGAGCCGGGACCTCACTCTTATGGAGCACATACCCTGCCTACTGTTCACCCCAGCCCAGTTTTTAAAAACATCCTTTTCTCTCTGTGCTTTGGTTAAATTGACTTTTCTTCAAATTAATTGGTTAAATTTTTTGTACAATCTTTTGCTAGTCCTGTCTAATGAATTTCTAAAATGTTATCACATTTTGCCGGGCAGTGGTGGTGCACGCCTTTAGTCCCAGTGCTCGGGAGGCAGAGGCAGGCGGATCTCTGAGAGTCCGAGCCCAGCCTGGTTCCAGGACAGCCTCCAAAGCCACAGAGAAACCCTGTCTCGAAAAGCCCCCCCCCAAAAAAAAAAACAAAAACAAAAACCAATCACATTTTGTACATGCGCACACAGGCACACAGGCACAAGTATAGGTCAGGGGGCAACTTGAAATAGTTGGTTCTCTCCTTCTATTTTGTGGGTCCAGAGGGTTGAACTCAAGTGTGCACACTTAGTGGTAAGTGTGCACTTTATCTCCTGAACTGGTCCCGTATCTAATGAAATTTTGTTTTCAGGATTTCCATTTGATTTTTTTTGGGGGGTGGGGCTTTTTGAGACAGGGTTTCTCTATGTAGCTTTGGAGCCTATCCTGGCACTCACTCTGTAGACCAGGCTGGCCTCAAACTCAGAGATCCACCTGTCTCTGCCTCCCAAGTGCTGGGTTTAAAGGGGTGTGGCACCAACGCCAGCCTCCATTTGATTTTTTAAAAATACTTTATGGGGCTGAGAGATGGTTCAACAGTTAAGAGCACTGGCTGCTCTTCCAAAGGAGCCAGGTTCAATTCCTCACATGGCAGCTCACACTGTAACTCCATCCAGTTCCAGGGGATCTGACACTGCACAGCAATGCACATAAAATAAAGTTAAAATAAATTTTAAAAATTACACGTCTCCTTACATTCTCCGTCTTGTCACATAGTATATCAATCCCAGTTGATACCCTGTTTTGTTTTTATTTTTCTCCTCAGACAGGATCTCACTATGTAGATAGGCCTGGAACTCGCTGTCTAGCTCAGGCTGGCCTTGAACGCCTGCCAAGCAATCCTTGTGCCTTTGCTTCCTAAAGCTGGTACTAAAGGCATGTACCACCATGTCTAGCTCAGTTGATTCTTTTTTTTTTTTAATTGATTCTTTTAAACACTTTTTTAGGAACTGAAGAGATTGCTCAGTGGTTAAGTGTGTATAACTGTTCTTCCTGAGGATCCAAGTTCAGTTCCCTGCACCCATGTCAGATGGCTCACAACTGCCTGCAACTCCAGCTCCAGGGGATCCAACCCCATCTATTGGTGTATCCACTCATGTGCGCAGATTCTTTTAAAAAATGTTTTTAATCTTTAAAATTTTTATTTTATTTTATTTACTATTGTTACATGTGTGTTTGATGGGGGGACATGTGTGGAAGACAGGACAGATTTCAGGGGTCATCTCTCTCCTTCACTGTGGGGTCCAGAAACTGAACCACTAAAGCTCTCTAGCTTGTTCAGGTTTGCTGAAACTTCTTGATGGTCCAAAATATCTGTCACAGACATTTTATTTATTTATTTTTGTCTTTTATTTCGTGAGTGTTTGCCTGCATGTATGTCTGTGCACCACATACATGCCTGCTGCCGGCAGAGGCAGAAGAGGTGTTGGTGGTTGTGATCCACCATGTGGATACTGAGAACTGAACCCAGGTCCTCTGTAAGAGCAACAAGTGCTCTTAACCACTGAGCCATCTCTTTAACCCACCATGGATATTTTAAATACTTTGTCTTCTACTTACTTCTACCTAGTTAGCTTCTGTTGACTGAGTTCTCTCCTGAATGTGCATCATGTTTCCTGTTTTCTCATCTAGCTAGTGACTTCCATTATTTTATTGGACGAGCGATGGAGGTAATGTCTGAGAAACTCTGTTCTGTTATTTTCTTGAGAAGTGCTGAATGCTCTGAGATGACTAGATTACAGGCATCACCTCATTCTTTCAGAAATTTAGTTTTAATACAGAAAATCCATTTTGGTTTTGTTCTTAGTTCCCTAGCCCTGGCATATGTTCTTTAGTTTAGGCCTGGATTTTCTGCAATTTCAGGAGAAAACACTGGGCATTTCCAAGCTCTGCTGCTTTGTGATAGAGGCTATGAAAATCTGTGCTCAGTTCTACCAGCCTGTCACTTCTTCCCTGGGGTCCTTGCACACCTCCCTCCCCCAAGGATCGAACCCAGTTCCTCACTTATGCTGGGCAATTGCTCTACCACTGTCATCATTTTGAGTTTTTATAAATTCTTCTCTATCACGCTGCCCCCCCTTACTTCTATCTTCTCTGACTCTCCTTTCAGGGAGACCCTGGCCCCAAAGGAGACCCTGGTGAGAAGAGCCACTGGGTAAGCTGCCGCCCTGGGCTTGCCTCTCCCTCTCCCTACCTCCCCTCCTCCCCTGCCTTCCCCTACCCCCTCCTACCTCCCCCTGCCTCTCCTGCCCTCCCCACCTCTCCCTGCCCTCCCATGCCCTGGGTGCTCAGGAAAGCATTCTCTCGCCTGTAGATCCTGGGATTGAGGGTGTCCTAGTCACATACTCACAGGAGCCCTGTTCCCTCACCCCTCCTGGCATTCCCCACCAGGCAGGGCTAGCCTAGCCCTCCAAGCAGACCCCATCCATGCTCTCTGCCTCTGTCTCTGCCTCTGTCTTTACCCACTTAACCTCTGTAGCCTTTCCAAGCCAAGGAGGCTCTGCCTGTTCTTGCTGGGCAGTTTAGGTGATGCAGACTGCATCTCCATTTCCAGGGTCCCTCCTGGCAAAGGTTTTGACTTTGTTCTGTTGTCTACAGAAGAAAGAGAAATGTGAAGACACTATCCACCCAAAACAGAAAAGGGACCTTAGGAAAGTCAGGAAACAAGAAGGGATGCGCAGGGGAGCCATGGTATACAGGACTGGAGACCTAGAAACTAACATACTCACAGAGACTCCAGGAGACCTAACTCTGTTACACCCAGAAGATCTGTAATAGGTACTATCACATACTTCAAGTGATCCATAAAGGAAGCCTAGAAACTTGGATCCACAAAGGAAGCATGCACACAGAGAACCATGGAAAATGAGATAAGGAGATGTAGAGACTACCAGATACAAAGCACACTGTGCACAATAGAAAGGGAGGCCTAGAAACTGCCACATGCATAGCAGATTTGGAGTAAATGGGAAGAGAGACTTAGAAACCACATACTCAGAAAGCTCAAGATGTGTGTGAGGTCTTGGGAACCTTCAAGGTCAATGGAGAGAACTGATGAACAGACGTGGGGCCTAAGAATCTAGTTCTCTTAAAGAACCTAGAGTGAACCATGTCCTGACGTGTTATGGCAACCACTGCTGGCACAGGAGACATTTGGAAAGTAGGTAGGGTGCGAGTAAACATTCCTACAAGAAAGACAGCCTGAGTACTCTTTAGAAGGTGGCATCATGCCTTCCTGTCATTCCTGAGTGCCAGCACCAGCCATGAACCATGTTTTCTCTGTTTGTGGTCATGGAGTCAGTGATGGATACAGCCGTGGTAGCCCTCACCCTGCATGAGTGCACCTCCGTGTATCCCATGACTTCTAGGGGCCCTGCTACCTCCCCAAGGTGCTTGCTTCCCCACTCTCCATCCTCACTCTTCCACTCCCTGTTGTCCCTGGCCTTTGACAGTGTGGATGTGGTCCCAGCAGGGAGACCCATGTGAGCAACCCTCTGCCTCCCCTCACTCTCCCAGAGACCCTGGGTGAGAAAACGGGTTTTTGTTTTTTGTTTTTTGTTTTTTTCACTCATCCCAGAAGGTATGGGAAAAACCAGGTCACAACAGAGCCAGGCTGTGCAGTCCCTATCCTCACATGGGAGCCTTGGGCCACCCCAGATGAGACCTTGAACCCAGGACCACCTAAGGGAGGTGTCCCCAAGAGGTAGCAGGACCCCGACTTGCCCACCTTCCTCCTTTTACCACCTGCATTTCTGCCCCTGCTTGCTGCCTGGGAAAGGCTTCGCTTGGCTGGAGATGCATGAGGCTTCTGGGCTGAGGGACCAGCTCTGTTGGAGGTAGGTAGGGATCCTGGTACAGTGGTACATCATTACTTCACCTACCAGCGCCCCCTAAGGGTAGTGCAGCTTTCAGAGCTGCTTGCCAGGTTTAGTGTGGCTCAGCAGTGTCACCAGGTGGCCACAGTCATGTACTGCAGGAACTGAGTGACTGGCCTGAGTTACTCTACCTAATTAAGAGGGAAGCCCTTATTCAGACAGGGAAACTGAGGCCCAGCTCCTCAGAGCAAACTGGTGGCAAAGCAGGGCCAGAAGTGAAGTGGGCTAAAACATCCAAACCCTCAGAGGGGCAAGAACCCACTACTGTTCCCTAAACTTCTGTATGCCAAGCTCAGAGATGGCAGGGCAGAGTGATGCTTTGCAGATTGGGTCCCCAGGAGAAGTGACCATGAGCTGGGGTAAAACACCATGGTCAGCAGCCACAAGACAAAAGGAATTTAGCTGTGTGTTGAGGGGGGCTGTAGTGTATTAGTGATGAAGGGAACATAACCAGTCACAGGGTATTCAGACAGAGAAGTGGGGGCAGTATATACAGAGGGTCTGGGTCAGAGTGAGCCTGGGATATTTGCAGAGTTGCAAGTACTTGGAGTGGCAGTTGACAGGCATGAAGTGAAATGGAGGCCAGAGGCTCTCAGAAATTAGGAGGCCACATTAAAGAATCTAAACTTTGGTGAACAGTGGGGCATTGTTTAAGTATTTCTAAACTGGGAGCCAGGCATAGTGGCTCACACTTGTAATCCCAGCATTCAGATGGCTGAGGCAGGAGGATGGCCACAAGTTCAAGGCAAACCTAGACTACATAGTGAGATACTTAAGGATCTTAAAAAATAAGATGTTTTTTCAAAAATTAAAGAATGAGAGTGAATGGTGAGGTCAGGTTTTTGTTTGCAAAGTATGGATGGGAAACAGAAAAGGGAAACAGATCAGAGACCCGGGGCTATCCGTGGGAGCATGGATAGGCAGCATGGCAGAGTGTGTGTGTGTGTGTGTGTGTGTGTGTGTGTGTGTGTGTGTTCTCTAGTGCCAATATGGAGAATGGATGGGAAACAGAAAAGGGAAACAGATCAGAGACCCGGGGCTATCCGTGGGAGCATGGATAGGCAGCATGGCAGAGGGAGTGGGTGTGTGTGTGTGTGCACAAGTGTGTGGTTGTGTTTATCATTCTCTGCCCTGTTCCTTTGTGAATGGCCTTGGGACAACTCTATTTTTCAGCTAGGCTAACAGCCAGAAAACAACCCCCACCCCTTTCTCTGTACCTTCCCAGTGCTGGGGTTATGGGCATTGGATAGCTTTTTACATGAATTCTAGGGCGCCAAATTCAGGTCCTCGTTATTTGCTCTTACCACTGAACCATCTCCCCTGTCCCAGGATCACCCATTTTGTGTTTATCATTCTCTGCCCTGTTCCTTTGTGAATGGACTTGGGAGCTCACTATTTTTCAGCTAGGCTAACAGCCAGAAAACAACCCCCACCCCTTTCTCTGTACCTTCCCAGTGCTGGGGTTATGGGCATTGGATAGGAGTTTACATGAATTCTAGGGCGCCAAATTCAGGTCCTCGTTATTTGCTCTTACCACTGAACCATCTCCCCTGTCCCAGGATCACCCATTTTCACACCCTGCTCCATGAAACTTGAAGAGGGATTACTCTGGCATGTGACCTATAGTGACCCCAGTATCCCAGGCTGAAGTGGCAGTTCAGTGACCCATGAATAGCTCAATATTTATGATATTAACAGGACAGCTGGAGCATAAGGAATAGCCCCAGGGAATGAACAAACTCATAGTAGACATGTTGGGAGTCCTATTAATTGCTTAGATGTTCTTATGGGTTTCTGCTTCTAATGGATTGGATGGTTCATGTCTGGAGTTCCAAATCATAGGAGTTTAAAGCAGAACTGTTAGTTTGAGGTTAACCTGGGCTACAGAGTGACATATCTCAAAGAAAACAGAGTGGGAAGAGGGAGAAGGTACTGGAGAGATAGCCAGCATAAGGATTCACATAAATTCTGGGTGGGCTTCAAAGCCCACCCCTAATTCCAGAGCTTGGAAGGCAGAAGCAAACTATGGGTTCATTTGAGAGATCCTGCCTCAATAAATAGGTGAAGAAAATACTCTGATGTCAACTTCTGGCCTCCAGATACATGTCCATGTATGCATGCACACAAATGTGAACACCAGTATACAAATGCATACACACACCACACATATCACATAAAAAGGAGGTAGGAGCTAGAGAGATGGCTCAGAGGATAAGAGCACTGACTGCTCTTTCAGAGGTCCTGAGTTCAATTCCCAGCAACCACATGGTGGCTCACAACTGTCTATAATGAGATTTGGTGCCCTCTCTTGTAATGAGATTTGGTGCAAGAATATACACAGGCAGAACACTGAAAACATAATAAATAAATATTTTTAAAGGTGGGAGAATGGCTCAGTGGGAAAGAGTACTTGCTGCAACGACATGAAGACCTGAGCCCCGATCCCTAGCACCTACACAGATGTCAGGCATGGCACATCTGCCTGCAACCCTACCATGGTGAACCTGAAGCAGGTGGAGCTTGATGGCCAGCCAGGCTAGCTGAAACAGTACACATTGGGGTGCTTAAGACCCTGTCTCACCAGGCAGTAGTGGCACACACCTTTAATCCCAGCACTCAGGAGGCAGAGGCAGGTGGATCTCTGTGAGTTTGAGGGCAGCCTGATCTACAGAGTGAGTTCCAGAACATCTAGGGCTACACAGAGAAACCCTGTCTCAAAAATTAAGGTAGAAAACAAAATAAGATGGAGGAGCCTGCAAGGTGGTTCTTCCAGTGAAGGTACTTGCCACAAGATCAAAGGCCTGGGTTCAATCTCTAGGACTCACGTGATGGGAAGAAAGAACTGGTTCATTTAATTTTTTTCTCTGATGTCCACACACAAGCTGTGATGACCATAAGTTGGCCTATGACCTCAATGTGTACACTATGGCACGATCAGCCCCACCCCACTCCCACACAAATGTAATGAAAATCTTAACTACAATGGAGAGCAAAGAGGAAGACATTCTCCTCTGGCCTCTGTATAAGTCCACGAGGGCATATATATACACACTCATGTGCGTATACCACACACACGCACTCGCACACGCACACACATGCACACACATACACACACACACACACACACACACACACACACACACACAAAGGAAATGTGTGCATGCTATGCATCTCTTCACCTACCCTATACTAAATGCTGAGAGACTCTTCTAGATGCTGTCAGGCTTGGGATAGCTCCTCTCACCGTCCAGTGTTGTTGGAAAACACTCACATTCTAGACATTGTTTAGGGAGGGGTCATGAAGTGTTGAGTAAGACCATGGGCCCTGTGCTACGGAAGGAAAGAACAAACTGGGAGGAAGTCCAAGAGGGCTCTCTAAATGAGCCTCTGCTTTGGGGGGAGTGGAGAGCCCTGGCCTGGGGGGCCTTAGAGAAGGAGCTTGGTGGACTCTTTTCACACCCCTGGGAACACACTGATGCCTTCAGCTGCTGCTGGAAGGGGCTGGGCTGAGGGCTGTCCCCAAGGTGTATCAGAATATGGGACTAGTGCTGATGGAGAGGTGAACAGTCTCCTGAAGAGACAGAGCTGGAGCCCCAGGTCAGCCTCCTTTTAAGCAGCAATGCCACTGAGAATTTGATTTTCACTTACTGTTCATGCTAGCGAGAACAGAATCACTAGCTTGCTCTCACTGATCCAGTTAGTTAGTGTGAGGTTAACATGATGGCTTAAAGCAGAAAGTCAATCTGAAGGATATGAGTAGAGAGAAAGATTAAAAATGTCAGAAGTTAAAATAGGGAGAGAGAGGAAAAGAGACAGAGCTCCCAGACAGAGTACAGGTGGCCCAGGGATGTCATACGAACTGTGCAGAGGATGTCAGAATGTGGGTGAGAGAACAAGCTGGCTTCACAGGGCTTTGGGAACAAAGGCTGTGGAGCAAGCAGAGGAGTGCCCGCCTGAGTGGCACAATCTGCAGCCAGTTGGGATCAAATGGAACTTTCTGAGGGGGTCTTCGGGGTTGCTTCCTCCTGCCTTGCCTCCTTCTGTACCTCTCCGTCTTGTTTGGCTGTCCGTGGGTCTTGGGCTGTGGTGGTGGGTGGTACAGGGATACAGGTGCTTGTCTCTGGTGGGGCAGGGGCCACTGGCAGTGGCAGGCTTTACAGGGACCCCTTCTGACCCCCCATCACGGCTGCATCTGTCTCTTTCTCCACAGGGGGAGGGGTTGCACCAACTACGCGAGGCTTTGAAGATTTTAGCTGAGAGGGTTTTAATCTTGGAAACAATGATTGGGCTCTATGGTGAGTAGAGACAGACAGACCAGACCAGCCCTGCTTACCGGCCTCCCCCAAAGCCTCCTTGGGTGTAACTGGCCTGAGTCCAGTTCTGAGGCTGAAGGAAGCATAAGCTACAGAGGCTTCCCAACCTTCTTCTCTGCACAGGGGAAAGTCCTGCTCCTGCACTCATCCTTGTGCCTCTCTTTAGGCAGTGTGGTTGTCGAGGTTTACAGGACTTCAGGAGCTTGGAGACAACAGAATGAGATTTGCAAGAACTCATGAGCAATGAAACCAGATTCCTAAGCCAAATGTGGAAGCATATGCTTTTGATCCTAGCACTTGAGAGTCAGAAACAGGAAGAGCTCTATGAGTTCAAGGCCTGGTATACAAAGTTCCAGGACAGCCAGGGCTACACAGAGAAACCTTGTCTCCAAAAAAATCCAGGACAGCCAGGGCTACACAGAGAAACCTTGTCTCAAAAAAAAAAAAAAAAAAAGGAAAGAAAGAAAGAAAGAAAGAGAAAAAGGAAGAAAAGAAAAGAAAAGGAAGAAAGAAAGAAAATAAGGAAGGAAGGAAAAAGAAATCAGATTCCTGATCAGTGAGGGATTGTGGGTAACAGCTAGACTCTAGCCATACTGGGGTCATGGGTCATACAGTCAGAGCCCAAGCCCACAGAATTATGAATAAAGGGTGTTGATAACTTGGGCTTCAACTCTAGGCAAATCTAGAGCAATGCAGCTGGATTCCAAAAGTGTAGGGAACTGTGGGTGACAGAAGCAGACTCAGGACCCAGAGACCTCTGGGTAATAGACCCTTTGCTGGTTCTGATCAGCTTCCCCATAAACTTCTGGAGACTCTGGCAGGACCTGCCTCCCTGGCCCCAGGTATCCCTCCCATAGTTGCCACTGTAGTTCTAGTATGTCCTGAAGTTAAGCCTGTCAGGGCTTAAGGGAGCCAGATCCTTAGCCTGGCATTCACCCTCCAAGTTCCCATCCATCTGGCTACCTGAGGAGCTAGGTGCACCCTCTCCCTATCTCCTGGGGGGACCCTGAGGTCTGGTGGACACTGGTCCAGACCCCTGCCCTGAAGCCCATCAGCATCTCTATGCCTTCACCTCCCTCCCTTGGCTCCCAGCCCAGCCCTTAGAGTCCAGACTTGCACCGTCTGCTCTTCTCAATCTCCCATCAGGCTCCTAGTTTACAGAGCTTCCTGCAGCAGCAGGCCCAGCTGGAGCTCCTGGCCAGAAGGGTCACCCTGCTGGAAGCCATCATCTGGCCAGGTAATGGCAGGGTGGGCAGGCAGGGGCAAACCCTCCCAGGAAGGGCCTGGGGCAGGCTTGGGCATGAAGAAGATGCCTCCCAGTGCTTGGTCTGAGCCAGAAGACACTGGATCCTTCCATTCATCAAGGCAATAGAGCCTGGCACAGAGAAGTAGCTTTCCTGTTCTGACAGTCACCTGTCGGCACAGGCTCCAGCACACCCATTGATGTAGCCCTACCCTTGTGCAGTTTAGGATTGGAGTAGGGGGCTGACACTGGTAGCAAAAGCCAAGAAGAGATAAGTGACAGAGTGGTGAGCATAGATATGCCTCTGGCGTGCTGGGGACATGGCTGCTCCATGGTAGGGCACTTGCCTTGCATGTAGAAGTCCTTGGGTTCAGTTGTCACCATGAGGGAGGGAGCCAGTTCATAAGGGAGACAGTCCAGGAGGGCTTCATGAAGGTGAAACCTCGCTGAAGACCAGAAGGACAAGGATCATAGGCCAGTGAACACACAGAGGAAGATCAGAGATCAAGATGTCTCAAAGTTTCTGAGAGGTGAAGACTAACGCTGAGCAGAGCTGGACTGGAAAGGTTCTAGAAGGCCAGTTCAAGCAGCATGAGAGGTGGTTCGGCTTCTGGCTGGGGGCGGGGGCAGTCCCTTCCCCTGCACCTGGCTCTGGGGGGTGGGGCTGAAGCTAAGGAACCTATAGCTGGTGTGGGGAGACGGGACTGTCAGGTCACAGGAATGGGTTGCTTCTCATTTGCCCCCTGAGAGTCCCCACCCACTGGCTTTCCTTTGTCCTTTCAGCCACTGCCCTGTCACAGCCCATGTGTACATCAATGCCCAGAGCCCTCCATATTGTGTCCAACCTCTCCTCTTATAAAACTAAAAACTGAGGCCCTAAGTGTGAAGGAGGGTCGGGGTTAAAACAGGAAGCACTCGCTGAGTGCTTGGATGGCTTGGATGGCCACTGGGCCCTGCAAAGTAGCTGGGCTCTGGGGAGCTGTCTGTCAGTCACTTTAGAGATTTAAAGAGAGTACCCAAGGATTGGGCCCTTCTTGATAGTCATTGGCAACTTCTTGGAAGAGGGGACCATGTGTGGGGTCATAGAAGATACATGGTTGTGCCTGGTGGAGGTGAGAGGGACAACCCTGACAGGAAACTTAATATGAGGTAAGATCTGGAGGTTGGAGTGTGAGTTGTCCACGCCAAGAATGATAGCTACATGCCTAAGATCCCAGCACTGGAAGGCTGAGACAGGAGGACAGCAAATTTGAGGCCAGCGTGAGCTACTGAGCAAAACTTTGCCAAAAAAAAAAAAAAAAAAGTGCACACAGTCCGTTTCTAGTTCCCCATTAACCATGTGGCATCTCTAAACTCTAGAAATGTCAGGGACTATCTGGAGGACCACCTCCTGCCTCACCAGCCTTGTCCTTGCTTTAGGAGGGGAGACTGGCGTCTTGATGGAGACATAGAAAGTCCCTGGCCTGAAGCCTCTTGGCACCTGTCCTCCATCCCCCATTGCCTCCAAATGACCTGAGGGACCACTGGGAACAAGGGACCACATTATATATTCTCAGTTGCCCCCTCCTCTCAGTATAGTGCAACAGTAGAAGGGACAGCGAGGTATCCACTGTGACCCCGTCCTTAGCTGGCTGTGCTTCTGATAGCCTCTGAAGGGTGTACAAGGAACCTGGGAAAAGCCAGGCCCCATCAGTGGCCCATCCCTAAGCAATGCCTTCTGTGGGAAGTGGCCCCCATCACGCTTCCAACTTCTATCCTAGAACAGGGAAAGGCTTGACCAAGCACCTATCCTGAGGCTCTCTCCCCCACTAGAAAAAGTCTACCCTGACCTCCTCCCAGGCTTTAGGGGCTACCAAAGGACTTGTGGGCTTCCTGGACAACAGAGCTCCTTTTTGAGTTTTGAAGGATGTTCGTTTTCTTGCAGGGGACAGAGCAAGCATGCTATGTTTTATGTTTGGGATTCAACTTATATGCAGCTCAGGGCATATCTCACCACAACTCCCTTAGTAACTGATTTTGGTCTTTGTTGGTGCTGCCTAGGGTCTCAGAGTCTATCTGAAAATGTCCCTGATTTTAGAAATACAACTGGGGCCTGACTCTACTAAGCCCTTTCCTCCAAATGGTGCTATAACCCAAGGAAAGAGGAAGAGTTTCTTCCCTAGCTTCAGTTTACTTGCTGTGAAGTTTGGATGATGCAGAATTCACCTTCACTCCAAATGAAGCCTCAAAAATTGACTACTTAGGGAGTGTTATCCATATGCCAAACATGTAAATGTGGTGAGCCTGGCCATTCCCATTAGACAAACCAGGCATCAGATGGCCAAATGCTGTCCCTGGGCTGGGTGTTTAGAGGTCATGGGGAGGCACTAACCAGCCTTCAGCTCCGTCTCTAGGATGCCAGGGTAAGAGTGGGTTCCCCATGTGAATGTCCCCCTAACATAGCCTCTCTCCTTATTCCCTCCGGCAGAACCAGAGCTGGGATCCGGGGTAGGTCCTGATGGCACGGGTACCCCCAGCCTCCTTCGAGGCAAAAGGGGAGGACACCCAACCAACTACCAGATCGTGACCCCCAGGAGACGCAACGGGAGGAGCTGAGGATGGTGGTGGCTCTTGAGGGTTCCACACCAGGCATCCTCCCCTAGCCTGGATTTGGCCAGCTGCCTCCAGAGACTGCCAGTTCCTATTTATTAATATCCTCAGGGACCCCTGTGCCATCTTGGCCTTAGGCAGGTCTCAGTGATGGCAACCTATACATGACTAAGCAGGGACTGGGCCCTGAGAGGAATCCTACTCAAGAAGTCAGGCCTCACTTGCACCTGGCCTGTTGCCCTCAGCAAAATGGGTGAAAAGGTCTTAAACAGGAGCAGGTGGAGGTACAAGGCTTTCAGTCTTCTAACATAGGGGGACCTGGAACTCTGCCTGGCCCTACAGACATGCAAGGATGGAGGCAGAAGTCTCAGTTCCCCTCATTCAAACCTTGGAGAGTCCTGTTTTCTGGTGCTGAGTTCTAATCTGAGTCCAGGCTGCTTAACCCCTGACTGAATGCTTGGTACTCCTTCCTTCACTTCTACCCAAGCCCCACTCCCCAGTGTCCCATGTGGGGATGGATGTGTACAAGGGACTCCCACTCCAAGTATTGCTGCGGATGCCATGCATGGATTGCTGTGTATTGGACAATAAACGTCCCTGCCTGACCCTGTTTAGTCTCTATGTGCTGCGGCCAGAGCCCTGTGGTCCTAGACACCACTCTGAGTAACCCTCTTGCCATCAGCCACCCATTCACTGCTTGTTCACTCACTCCCCCTTCTTCCCGATGCCAACACAGAGGAGCCACTCGGGAGGCCAGGTTGAAACTTTTATTCTTACAAAGTAGAAGAACATTCTGGGGCCTACTTCTGCCCCCAAGGATGCCTTCAAGCTCCCAAGCCTACAGTAGACTGGGTAAGGACTCAGGCCAGGCCTAAGACCCTACTCTCTTCTTGAACTATGAGGGCCCAGTGCCCTTGCAGTGGGCGGGACCACTCCTCCCCTCGGTCACTAGGGCTTCAGTTTCCACCAGTCCTTCAACCAGGAGTGATACGGCACCCTCCACACGCCCTGTAGCTGCCAAGGCCACTGCAGCCTGCTCAGTGGGGAATCCCATGTGCTCCAGCTGCTGCAGCCTGTGAGGTGGGGACAAGGAAGAAATGTCAGGGCAGCATAACTCCCACATGAGGAAGCTGCACCCCTGCCCACCCTGTCTTACCGCAGAGAAGACACAGAGGACTTGGGCAACCACATCAAGTTCTGGGGACCCTGAACGGAGGTATCACGAAGTGAAGCCTGGATCCCTTCCTGTAGCATTTGTTCATCCAGGGCTGCCCACATCGGGGTTCCTGGAGCAAAGCTGGATGCCGCCCAGTCCAAGCCCCTCTCTGAGTCCATCCATGTGAAATGCACAGGCCCCAGGCCTGGTGGAAGTTGGGCAGAGCCATCACTGTGAGACCAGGATTTGGGGAAGCAAGGTAAGGAGATTCAGGGGTGGCAGGTCTGTAGGGAGAGAGGCGGGTGGCCTGGGCAGCCAGCCACGGTCACAACTTGCACCATCCAATGCTGAGCCCCTGGCATCACCCTTACCTCACTCCAGCAGGATAAGTGACAGGCAGTTCAGCCAGACTGCCTGGGGTGGGAAGGAGCCTTAGTGGCCAGCACCGGGCCAGAGTCCTGCAAAGGACACTGTCCTGTAACACCTGCAATCTCCGCTCTGAGAGCTCCAACCACCGGAAGGCCCCAGCAGCATCTGCCTGCCCAGGGCAGGGCGACAGGTCAAGGAAAACCAAACTGAACTGGGGGGAGGGGAATGTCTCCCCTTGCTTCATCCTCCAGGACTACATGAGAAGCTGAAGCTGAGAACAAAAGGGAACTGCCTACCTGAAACTACTCAGCCAAAACAGAACAGTGTGTACCTTTCCCAAACCCCACTTTCCACTTTCCTGGCCACTGCATAACCCTGTGTGCCTGAAGACAGGTCCTTCTACTGTCGGCCAGACTTGAGTAGCTGGTGTCTGCATTCTGAAATGGTCCCCTGTGATGCCTGAAGGGTTATATCGACAGCCTATTCTCTTTGGTGGCTATTTTCCCGTATCTTGGGAGCAAAGCTTATATTTAAAGATACCTGTACTGTGGGCCCTAAGATGGCCTCTGTTCCTAGGTTCACTCCCACCCTGAGCCTTCCTCTTTGCTCATCTTAGCTTTGATCACACAGGATCCAGGTTAATGACTTCTAGGGTCCCTTTAGCTCTCCCAAGCATCCCATGGGGTCCTTTGATTATAACAGACACCTCCCTGTGGTCGTCAGAGCATGGCTCAGAAAAAAATGTGCCAGGAGCAATGTTTGGACACCTGACATTGCTTGGGCATGGACCCCCTTATTCCATTTCTTTCCAAGGTACCCCGGAGGCCCAGCCACAGGTCCACATGGTCCCTGGGCTCAGGTAAAGGATACAGGCTAGTCCAGCAAGAAGGCCACAAACGAGCTGCAGGAAGGGCGGCTCAGAGCTGAGCAGCCGGGTCAGGGCCAGCAGCAGCCATGGGAGTAGCCATGGTGGCAGTGTCCCCTGGGGCCATCCAGGGTAGTAACTCTGCCCTGCCAGCATGGCCAGATGGACAGGCATGTATCCACAGCCTCCAGCTGCATTGGACACCCCAAGGCCTGCCAGTAGCACAGCCAGCAGCCCAGCAGCCAGGGCAAGCAGGGCGGAGTTGTGCAGGAAGCGTAGAGTGCCTAGATGGCACTCCTGCCACCAGCCCAGAGTGGGCAGGAGCAGCAGGCTCAAGAGCAGGCCCGGCAGTGCAGTGTGGCCCAGAGCATGGGTCAGTAGCCGGTGCACTGGGAACGAGAAGGGTGCCAGGTTAGAGGGATGGGTTAGCCTTTTACTAGGGCCACCTGGTAGGCCAGCCTCCCCTACCCAGAAGCCAGTATGTCAAGTGTCACTACCTAATCACTCTCTAGTTACAGTGAAAGGAACCAACACACAGTCTTCTCACTAGCAACCAGCTACAAAGTGGTACAATGTCCCTGGTACAGTGACACTATTTGTCAGTTATTGAATCTTTTTTGCATCTGGTTAGTAACACAAGTTCTAATGGGATTGCCTGCTAGAACCTCTTCACTCCCACAGAGCTGCATGACCTTACAAAAATTGCTTAACCTCTCTAAACATCATTTGGGTAATGTAAGCTGGAGGTTTTGTGGGAAGTACATGTTTGGCAGAAAATTTTAGTTCTTATTTCCAGGGAAAGCTATCAGAAAGGGATGCTGTCAGAACTCCTACCCACAGCTTCCCATCTCACCCTCGGTGCCTTCTACAGGACCCTCTTCCCTCCTTGACTGTGGATAAGCTGGGCATGTCTGTAGGCTAACCTGCCTGGGTCACAGTCCTATCCTTGTGACCACCACAAGCTGCATGATAATTCCACTAACTGGTCTCAGACCCTAGAGTAAGTCTCTAGCATCCTTCAAGGACCATGCAGCTGGTCCTCACCCTGCCAGGGGTCCAGCAGCAGCTCTGGAGCCAATGTGAGGCTGGGGCCAGCCCCCAATAACCACAGGCAGCTCATCAGGAGCATCAGAACTGAGGAAGCAAGAGGCAATGCCCGGGACACTGAGCCATCAGAGTCCCAGGCATGCATAGTTTGGTTGATGGCAGTCAACAGTTGTCCTGAGGCTGTATACTGGAATAAACAAAAACAGTAACAAATTATTCTTGCTGCTTTTATCTGACTCCCTCTCAACTATTTTACCAATGGCCCCATTTTACAGAGGCAGAAAACTGAACCAGCAGAGGCAGGTCCAGTAGTGTGCCCATAGAGGGCTCAAGCCCCAACCTGTGTGCTTATTAGCCACCTTCCTATCCCACCTGCTCATGTGTCTGGGATGGTCAGGGACCATGCATAAAGTCCCAATTAGGACAGTGTGGTAGTGCACACCTGTACTCTTAGCACTCGGGAGCTGGAGGCAAGAGGATCAGGAATACAAGGTCATTAGAGATGCAGACCAGTGGGAGAGTGCTTACCTAGCATACATGGGCACCTGGATTTGCTCTCCAATGCTGTAAAAAGAATAAAAGAAAAAATTAGGTCTTGGCTACATACTGAGTTCAAAAACCAGCCTGGGTGACATGAGACCCAGCTTCCAAAAAACAAAACACAGTCTGGTGGACACTGAAGAGGATTCTCAGTGGAAGATACAGGGCCAGAAAAATTGAACTTCAGTGCCAAAAAGATGGGCACATTCCCCTGAGAATGGCAAAGTCAAAGTCAGCTCTAGACTCCCGCTTCCCTCCCTCTTTTCTAGTGTGCCCAGCCTCAGGGAATCCAGATGGCCTCAGGTACCCTTGAACAAGGGGCTTCATGAGGCCCACCAATGGGACAAGCAGCTTATGGTTGAAATGGGCTACAGGAGTCCCATATTCCAAGCCTTACAAAGTGGTTCAGAACTGTGGCACTATTTTCTCCCCAGCCCTGGCCCTGGTGTCTGCTCCAGCCTTCTGTTGTGTGTCTGAGGACAAGTTTTCCAATCTGTGAAATGGCAATTAAGACACATTTTGCTTCCAGGATCATAAGAGAAAGGAAAAGACTGAAGGCCACAGCTTTCTCTTTCTTTAAAGTTTTGCTTGTTTTAAACAAAGTCTCAACACGGAAACCAATCTAGCCTGTAATGTGAGATTCTCCTGTGTCTGCCTAGGCTTTGAGTACTAGGTCACAAATCTACACCATCGCACCTGGTTTGGCCCCCAGCTCTTTCTCAATAAACCCAAAACACCACCTCATTACTTATGGGAGGCACAGATAGCTTACAAGTGAAGGCCCAGCTGGTCCAGGCCATTTCCTGCCCCATACAGCAAGCTTTTTTCCAATTAGGTTTTCAAACTATTTAACATATCAAGGCAGACTCTGGCAGTCATGTTCCACCCTGCAATCCCTCTGTCCCTAGCCGGCCCTTCTGGCGGGCATACCCCACCCTCTACCCTGAACTTCTCCAGCCCAGGGGACTGCTATTCCCTATATAATCCAACTATTTGGTTACCCGTGCTCTTTGTGTGTTGGACCCTCTG